AATATCGGTGGTAACATCGGTGGTCACATCGCTGGTAACACCGCTGGTTACATCGGTGGTAACATTGCTGGTAATATTGGTGGTAACATCGGTGGTAACATCGGTGGTAACATCGGTGGTAACGATTGCTGATATCACTGTGGCTACACCGAAGGTATCATCGATGGTAACATCGGTGGAAGCATTGGTGGTAACGCGGGTGGTAACATCGGTGGAAACATCTGTGGTAACATCGGTTGTAACAAGGGTGGTCATTGCGGTGATAACATCGGTGGTAAATCGGTGGAAACATAAGATGTATGATCGGTGGTAACATCGGTGAAAACACCGCCGGTAACATCGCTGGTAACACCGCTGGTAACACCGCTTGTATCATCGCTTTAAACATCGATGGTCATATCGGTGTAAAAATCGGTGGCCACATTGGTGGCAAAATCGGTGGTAACATCGGTGGTAACATCGGTGGTCATTGCGGTGATACATCGGTGTAACATCGGTGGAAACATAAGTTGTATGATCTGTGGTACATCGGTGAAAACACCGCCGGTAACATCGCTGGTAACACCGCTGGTATCACCGCTTGTAACATCGCTTTTAATATTGGTGGTAACATCGGTGGTAATATCGGTGGAAACATTGGTGGTCACATCGGTGGAAAAATCGTTGGTAACATCGATGTAACATCGATGGAAACTTCGATGGTAACCTAGGTGGTAACCTAGGTGGTAACATCGGTGGTAACATCGGTGGTAACATTGGTGGTAACATCGGTTGTCACATTGGTGGTAACATCGGTGGAAACATCACTGGTAACATCGCTAGTAACACCGCTGGTAACATCGCTGGTAAGATCTGTGGTAACATAGGTAGTAGCATTTGTTCTAACAACGGTGGTAACATCAGTGAAACACCGCTGGTGACATCGGTTGTAACATTTGTGGTAGCATCGCTGGTAACATCGCTAGGAACACAGCTGGTAATATCGCTTGAAACATTGGTGGTAACATCGGTGGAAGCATCGGTGGTAACATCGGTGGTAACAACGGTGGTATCAACGGTGGTAGCATCGGTGGAAACATAGGTGGTAAGATCGGAGCTAAAATCGGTGGAGAAATCGCTGGTAACATCGCTGATAACACAGCTGGTAATATCGGTGGTAACATCGGTGGAAGCATCGGTGGTAACATCCGTGGTAACCTAGGTGGTAACACCGGTGGTAATATCGGTTGTATCATCGGTGGTCATATATGTGGTAACATCTGTTGTAATTTCGCTTTTAACATCGGTGTAGATCGGGTCATAGCGGTGGTAACATCGGTGGTAACATCGGTGGTCATACCGGTGGTAACATCGGTGGAAACAAATGTGGTATGATCGGTGGTAGCATCGGTGGTAACATCGGTTGTAATATCGATGGTCATAGCGTTGGTAACATCGGTGGAAACATCTGTGGTAACATCGGTTGTAACAAGGGTGGTAACATTGGTGGTAACATCGGTGGTCTCATCGGTGGTCACATCGGTGGTGACATCGGTGGTGACATCGGTGGTATAATCGGTGTTACATCGCTGGTAACACCGCTGGTAACAACGCTGGTAACACCTTGTATCATCGCTTTAAACATCGCTGGTCATATCGGTGTAAAAATCGGTGGCCACATTGGTGGCAAAATCGGTGGTAACATCGGTGGTAACATCGGTGGTAACATCGGTGGTAACATCGGTGGTCTTTGCGGTGATAACATTGGTGGTAACATCGGTGGAAACACCGCCGGTAACATCGTTGGTAACACCGCTGGTATCACCGCTTGAAACATCGCTTTTAATATTGGTGGAAACATCGGTGGTAATATCGGTGGAAACATTGTTGGTCACATCGGTGGAAAAATCGGTGGTAACATCGCTGGTAACTTCGCTGGTAATTTCTGGGATAACATCGGTGGTAACATCGCTGGTAACTTCGCTGGTAATATCTGGGATAACACCGCTTGTAACATCGGTTGTAACATTGGTAGTCATAGCGGTGGTAACATCGGTGGAAACGTATGTGGTAACATAGGTGGTACCATCGCTAGTATCTTCTGTGCTTACATCTGTCGAAGCATCGGTGGTAAAATCGGTGGAAACATCACTGGTAACATCGCTAGTAACACCGCTGGTTACATCGCTGGTAAGATCTGTGGTAACATCGGTGGTAGCATCGGTGCTAACAACGGTGGTAACATCAGTTTAAACACCGCTGGTGACATCGGTTGTAACATCTGTGGTAGCATCGCTGCTAACATCGCTAGGAACACAGCTGGTAATATCGCTTGAAACATTGGTGGTAACATCGGTGGAAGCATCGGTGGTAACAACGGTGGTATCAACGGTGGTAGCATCGGTGGAAACATCGGTGGTCATTGCGGTGATAACATCGGTGGAAACATAACTTGTATGATCGGTGGTAATATCGGTGAAAACACCGCCGGTAACATCGCTGGTAACACCGCTGGTATCACCGCTTGTAACATCGCTTTTAACATTGGTGTAACATCGGAGGTAACATCGGTAGTAACAAGGGTAGTAACTTCAGTGGTAACATTGATGGTACAATCGCTGGTAACATCAGTAATAACATCGGTGGTCACATCGGTTGTAACATCGGTAGAACCATCGGTGGTAACATCAGTGGTAACATCGGTGGTAACTTCGGTGGTAACTTCGGTTGTAATTTCGCTTCTTACATCGGTGGTAGAATCGGTGGTAGCATCCGTGGTAACAACGGTGGTAACATCGGTGGTTACATCGGTGTAAACATCGGTGGTTATATCGGTTGTATCATTGGTGGTAACATCTGTGGTAATTTCGCTTCTAACATCGGTGGTAGCATCGTTGGTAACATCGGTGGTTATAGCGGTGGTAACATCGGTGGAAACAAATGTGGTATGATCGGTGGTAGCATCGGTGGTAACATCGGTTGTAATATCGGTGGTCATAGCGTTGGTAACATCGGTGGAAACATCTGTGGTAACATCGCTGGTAACGCCGCTGGTAAGATCGCTGGTAACATCGGTGGTCTCATCGGTGGTCACATCGGTGGTGACATCGGTGGTGACATCGGTGGTATAATCGGTGTTACATCGCTGGTAACATCGCTGGTAACACCGCTGATATCACCGCTTGTAACATCGCTTTTAATATTGGTGGTAACATCGGTGCTAATATCGTGGAAACATTGGTGGTCACATCGGTGGAAAAATCGTTGGAAACATCGGTGGTTCCATTGGTGGTAACACCGGTAGTAACATCGGTGGCAACATTGGTGGTCACATCGATGGAAACTTCGATGGTAACCTAGGTGGTAACATCGGTGGTAACATCGGTGGCAACATCGGTGGTCACATCGGTGGAAACATAGGTGGTATGATCGGTGAAACATCGCTGGTAACATCGCTGGTAACATCGCTGGTAACACCGCTGGTAACACCGCTTGTAACATCGCTTTAAACATCGATGGTCATATCGGGGCCACATTGGTGGAAAAATCGGCGATAACATCGGTGGGGAAATCGGTGTTGTCATAGCTGGAAACACCGCTGGTAACACCGTTTTTATCATCGCTTGAAACATCGGTGGTAACATCTGTGGTCATATCGGTAGTAATATCGGTGGTAACATCGCTGGAAGCACCGGTGATATCACCGCTTGTAACATCGCTTGTAAAATAAGTGATAACATCGCTGGTAACACCGCTGGTGATATCGGTGGACACACCGCTGGTAACATCGCTGGTAGCTTCGGTCGTCACATCGATGGTAATATCGGTGGTAACATCGCCGTTAACGCCACTGGTAAGATCGCTGGTAACATCGGTTGTTACATCGGTGGTGACATCGGTGGAAATATCGTTGTAAGCATTGGTGGTAACTTCAGTGGTTACATCGGTGATTACATCGGTGGTAACTTCGGTGGTAACATCGGTGGTAACAGCGGTGGCTACATCGGTGTTTACATCTTTGGTAACTTCGGTGGTAACATCGGTGGTAACATCGGTAGAAACGCGGGTGGTAACAACGGTGGTAACATCTGTGGAAGCATCGGTGGTAACATCGGTGGTAACATCGGTGGTAACATCGGTGGTATCATCGGTGGTAACATCGGTGGTCATTGCGGTGATAACATCGGTGGAAACATAACTTGTATGATCGGTGGTAATATCGGTGAAAACACCGCCGGTAACATCGCTGGTAACACCGCTGGTATCACCGCTTGTAACATCGCTTTTAACATTGGTGGTAACATCGGAGGTAACATCGGTAGTAACAAGGGTAGTAACTTCAGTGGTAACATTGATGGTACAATCGCTGGTAACATCAGTAATAACATCGGTGGTCACATCGGTTGTAACATCGGTAGAACCATCGGTGGTAACATCAGTGGTAACATCGGTGGTAACTTCGGTGGTAACTTCGGTTGTAATTTCGCTTCTTACATCGGTGGTAGAATCGGTGGTAGCATCCGTGGTAACAACGGTGGTAACATCGGTGGTTACATCGGTGTAAACATCGGTGGTTATATCGGTTGTATCATTGGTGGTAACATCTGTGGTAACATCGGTGGTAACCTAGGTGGTAACATCGGTTGTAATTTCACTTCTAACATCGGTGGTAGAATCGGTGGTAACATCGGTGGTAACATCGGTGGAAACATCGGTGGAAACAAATGTGGTATGATCGAAGGGAACATCGGTGGGGAAATCGGTGGTATCATAGCTGGTAAAACCGCTGGTAACACAGTTTTTATCATCGCTTGAAGCATCGGTGGTAACATCGGTGGTCACATCGGTTGTAACATCGGTAGAAACATCGATGGTCACATCGCTGGTAACACCGCTGGTTACATCGGTGGTAACATTGCTGGTAACACCGCTGGTAACATCGGTGGTAACATTGCTGGTAATATTGGTGGTAATATCGGTGGTAACATCGGTGGTAAGCGATAGCTGGTAACATCTGTGGCTACACCGAAGGTATCATCGATGGTAACATCGGTGGAAGCATTGGTGGTATCGCGGGTGGTAACATCGGTGGAAACATCTGTGGTAACATCGGTGGTAACAAGGGTGGTAACATTGGTGGTAACATCGGAGGTAACATCGGTGGTAACAAGGGTGGTAACTTCAGTGGTAACATTGGTGGTACAATCGCTGGTAACATCAGTAATAACATCGGTGGTCACATCGGTTGTAACATCGGTAGAACCATCGGTGGTAACATCGGTGGTAACATCGGTGGTAACATCGGTGGTAACTTCGGTGGTAACCTAGGTGGTAATTTCGGTAGTAATTTCGGTTCACACATCGGTGGTAGAATCGGTGATAACATCCGTGGTAACAACGGTGGTAACATCGGTGGTTACATCGGTGTTAACATCGGTGGTAACCTAGGTGGTAACATCGGTTGTAATTTCACTTCTAACATCGGTGGTAGAATCGGTGGTAACATCGGTGGTAACATCGGTGGTAACATCGGTGGTCATTGCGGTGATAACATCGGTGGTAACATCGGTGGAAATATAAGTTGTATGATCGGTGGTAACATCGGTGAAAACACCGCCGGTAACATCGCTGGTAACACCGCTGGTATCACCGCTTGTAACATCGATTTTAATATTGGTGGTAACATCGGTGGTATTATCGGTGGAAACATCGATGGTAACATCGATGGAAACTTCGATGGTAACCTAGGTGGTAACAGCGGTGGTAACATTGGTGGTAACATCGGTGGAAACATCACTGGTAACATCGCTAGTAACACCGCTAGTAACATCGCTGGTAAGATCTGTGGTAACATCGGTGGTAGCATCGGTGGTAGCATCGGTGCTAACAACGGTGGTAACATCAGTGGAAACACCGCTGGTGACATCGGTTGTAACATCTGTGGTATCATCGCTGGTAACATCGCTAGGAACACAGCTGGTAATATCGCTTGAAACATTGGTGGTTACATCGGTGGAAGCATCGGTGGTAACATCGGTGGTAACAACGGTGGTATCAACGGTGGTAGCATCGGTGGAAACATATGTGGTAAGATCGGAGCTAAAATCAGTGGAGAAATCGCTGGTAACATCGCTGATAACACAGCTGGTAATATCGGTGGTAACATCGGTGGAAGCATCGGTGGTAACATCCGTGGTAACATCGGTGGTAACATCCGTGGTAACATCGGTGGTAACATCGGTGGTAATATCGGTTGTATCATCGGAGGTCACATATGTGGTAACATCTGTGGTAATTTCGCTTCTAACATCGGTGGTAGAATCGGTGGTAGCAACGGTGGTAACATCGGTGGTAACATCGGTGGTCAGAGCGGTGGTAACATCGGTGGAAACAATTGTGGTATGATCGGTGGTAACACCGCTGATAATACCGCTTGTAACATCGGTTGTAATATCGGTGGTCATAGCGTTGGTAACATCGGTGGAAACGTATGTGGTATGATCGATGGTAACATCGGTGGAAACATCGTTGGTAACATAGGTGGTAACATCGGAGGTAACATTGGTGGTAACATTGGTTGGAACATTGGTGGTAACATAGGTGGTACCATCGCTAGTAACTTCTGTGGTTACATCTGTCGAAGCATCGGTGGTAAAATCGGTGGAAACATCACTGGTAACATCGCTAGTAACACCGCTGGTAACATCGCTGGTAAGATCTGTGGTAACATCGGTGGTAGCATCGGTGCTAACAACGGTGGTAACATCAGTGGAAACACCGCTGGTGACATCGGTTGTAACATCTGCGGTAGCATCGCTGCTAACATCGCTAGGAACACAGCTGGTAATATCGCTTGAAACATTGGTGGTTACATCGGTGGAAGCATCGGTGGTAATTTCGGTGGTAACATCGGTGGAAACATCGGTGGAAACATCGGTGGTTCCATTGGTGGTAACACCGGTAGTAACATCGGTGGCAACATCGGTGGTCACATCGGTGGAAAAATCGGTGGTAACATCGATGGGGAAACCGGTGGTATCATTGCTGGGAACACGGCTGGTAACACCGCTTGTAACATCGCTTGTAAAATAAGTGATAACATCGCTGGTAACACCGCTGGTGACATCGGTGGACACACCGCTGGTAACATCGCTAGTAGCTTCGGTCGTCAAATCGATGGTAACATCGGTGGTCAGAGCGGTGGTAACATCGGTGGAAACATCGGTGGAAACAAATGTGGTATGATCGGTGGTAACATCGGTGGGGAAATCGTTGGTATCATCGCCCGGTAACACCGCTGATAACACCGCTTGTAACATCCGTTGTAATATCGGTGGTCATAGCGTTGGTAACATCGGTGGTAACATCGGTGGAAACATATGTGGTATGATCGGTGGTAACATCGGTGAAAACACCGCCGGTAACATCGCTGGTAACACCGCTGGTATCACCGCTTGTAACATCGCTTTTAATATTGGTGGTAACATCGGTGGTAATATCGGTGGAAACATCGATGGTAACATCGATGGAAACTTCGATGGTAACCTAGGTGGTAACAGCGGTGGTAACATTGGTGGTAACATCGGTTGTCACATTGGTGGTAACATCGGTGGAAACATCACTGGTAACATCGCTAGTAACACCGCTAGTAACATCGCTGGTAAGATCTGTGGTAACATCGGTGGTAGCATCGGTGGTAGCATCGGTGCTAACAACGGTGGTAACATCAGTGGAAACACCGCTGGTGACATCGGTTGTAACATCTGTGGTATCATCGCTGGTAACATCGCTAGGAACACAGCTGGTAATATCGCTTGAAACATTGGTGGTTACATCGGTGGAAGCATCGGTGGTAACATCGGTGGTAACAACGGTGGTATCAACGGTGGAAGCATCGGTGGAAACATATGTGGTAAGATCGGAGCTAAAATCAGTGGAGAAATCGCTGGTTACATCGCTGATAACACAGCTGGTAATATCGGTGGTAACATCGGTGGAAGCATCGGTGGTAACATCCGTGGTAACATCGGTGGTAACATCCGTGGTAACATCGGTGGTAGCATCGGTGCTAACAACGGTGGTAACATCAGTGGAAACACCGCTGGTGACATCGGTTGTAACATCTGCGGTAGCATCGCTGCTAACATCGCTAGGAACACAGCTGTTAATATCGCTTGAAACATTGGTGGTAACATCGGTGGAAGCATCGGTGGTAATTTCGGTGGTAACATCGGTGGAAACATCGGTGGTTCCATTGGTGGTAACACCGGTAGTAACATCGGTGGCAACATCGGTGGTCACATCGGTGGAAAAATCGGTGGTAACATCGATGGGGAAACCGGTGGTATCATTGCTGGGAACACGGCTGGTAACACCGCTTGTAACATCGCTTGTAAAATAAGTGATAACTTCGCTGGTAACACCGCTGGTGACATCGGTGGACACACCGCTGGTAACATCGCTTGTAGCTTCGGTCGTCAAATCGATGGTAACATCGGTGGTAACATCGGTGGTAACATCGGTGGTATCATCGGTGGTAACATCGGTGGTCATTGCGGTGATAACATCGGTGGAAACATAACTTGTATGATCGGTGGTAATATCGGTGAAAACACCGCCGGTAACATCGCTGGTAACACAGCTGGTATCACCGCTTGTAACATCGCTTTTAACATTGGTGGTAACATCGGAGGTAACATCGGTAGTAACAAGGGTAGTAACTTCAGTGGTAACATTGATGGTACAATCGCTGGTAACATCAGTAATAACATCGGTTGTAACATCGGTAGAACCATCGGTGGTAACATCAGTGGTAACATCGGTGGTAACTTCGGTGGTAACCTAGGTGGTAACTTCGGTTGTAATTTCGCTTCTTACATCGGTGGTAGAATCGGTGGTAGCATCCGTGGTAACAACGGTGGTAACATCGGTGGTTACATCGGTGTAAACATCGGTGGTTATATCGGTTGTATCATTGGTGGTAACATCTGTGGTAACATCGGTGGTAACCTAGGTGGTAACATCGGTTGTAATTTCACTTCTAACATCGGTGGTAGAATCGGTGGTAACATCGGTGGAAACATCGGTGGAAACAAATGTGGTATGATCGGTGGGAACATCGGTGGGGAAATCGGTGGTATCATAGCTGGTAAAACCGCTGGTAACACAGTTTTTATCATCGCTTGAAGCATCGGTGGTAACATCGGTGGTCACATCGGTTGTAACATCGGTAGAACCATCGATGGTCACATCGCTGGTAACACCGCTGGTTACATCGGTGGTAACATTGCTGGTAACACCGCTGGTAACATCGGTGGTAACATTGCTGGTAATATTGGTGGTAATATCGGTGGTAACATCGGTGGTAAGCGATAGCTGGTAACATCTGTGGCTACACCGAAGGTATCATCGATGGTAACATCGGTGGAAGCATTGGTGGTATCGCGGGTGGTAACATCGGTGGAAACATCTGTGGTAACATCGGTGGTAACAAGGGTGGTAACATTGGTGGTAACATCGGAGGTAACATCGGTGGTAACAAGGGTGGTAACTTCAGTGGTAACATTGGTGGTACAATCGCTGGTAACATCAGTAATAACATCGGTGGTCACATCGGTTGTAACATCGGTAGAACCATCGGTGGTAACATCGGTGGTAACATCGGTGGTAACATCGGTGGTAACTTCGGTGGTAACCTAGGTGGTAATTTCGGTAGTAATTTCGGTTCACACATCGGTGGTAGAATCGGTGGTAACATCCGTGGTAACAACGGTGGTACCATCGGTGGTTACATCGGTGTTAACATCGGTGGTAACCTAGGTGGTAACATCGGTTGTAATTTCACTTCTAACATCGGTGGTAGAATCGGTGGTAACATCGGTGGTCATTGCGGTGATAACATCGGTGGTAACATCGGTGGAAATATAAGTTGTATGATCGGTGGTAACATCGGTGAAAACACCGCCGGTAACATCGCTGGTAACACCGCTGGTATCACCGCTTGTAACATCGCTTTTAATATTGGTGGTAACATCGGTGGTAATATCGGTGGAAACATCGATGGTAATATCGATGGAAACTTCGATGGTAACCTAGGTGGTAACAGCGGTGGTAACATTGGTGGTAACATCGGTGGAAACATCACTGGTAACATCGCTAGTAACACCGCTAGTAACATCGCTGGTAAGATCTGTGGTAACATCGGTGGTAGCATCGGTGGTAGCATCGGTGCTAACAACGGTGGTAACATCAGTGGAAACACCGCTGGTGACATCGGTTGTAACATCTGTGGTATCATCGCTGGTAACATCGCTAGGAACACAGCTGGTAATATCGCTTGAAACATTGGTGGTTACATCGGTGGAAGCATCGGTGGTAACATCGGTGGTAACAACGGTGGTATCAACGGTGGTAGCATCGGTGGAAACATATGTGGTAAGATCGGAGCTAAAATCAGTGGAGAAATCGCTGGTAACATCGCTGATAACACAGCTGGTAATATCGGTGGTAATATCGGTGGAAGCATCGGTGGTAACATCCGTGGTAACATCGGTGGTAACATCGGTGGTAATATCGGTTGTATCATCGGAGGTCACATATGTGGTAACATCTGTGGTAATTTCGCTTCTAACATCGGTGGTAGAATCGGTGGTAGCAACGGTGGTAACATCGGTGGTAACATCGGTGGTCAGAGCGGTGGTAACATCGGTGGAAACAATTGTGGTATGATCGGTGGTAACACCGCTGATAACACCGCTTGTAACATCGGTTGTAATATCGGTGGTCATAGCGTTGGTAACATCGGTGGAAACGTATGTGGTATGATCGATGGTAACATCAGTGGAAACATCGTTGGTAACATAGGTGGTAACATCGGAGGTAACATTGGTGGTAACATTGGTTGGAACATTGGTGGTAACATAGGTGGTACCATCGCTAGTAACTTCTGTGGTTACATCTGTCGAAGCATCGGTGGTAAAATCGGTGGAAACATCACTGGTAACATCGCTAGTAACACCGCTGGTAACATCGCTGGTAAGATCTGTGGTAACATCGGTGGTAGCATCGGTGCTAACAACGGTGGTAACATCAGTGGAAACACCGCTGGTGACATCGGTTGTAACATCTGCGGTAGCATCGCTGCTAACATCGCTAGGAACACAGCTGGTAATATCGCTTGAAACATTGGTGGTAACATCGGTGGAAGCATCGGTGGTAATTTCGGTGGTAACATCGGTGGAAACATCGGTGGTTCCATTGGTGGTAACACCGGTAGTAACATCGGTGGCAACATCGGTGGTCACAGCGGTGGAAAAATCGGTGGTAACATCGATGGGGAAACCGGTGGTATCATTGCTGGGAACACGGCTGGTAACACCGCTTGTAACATCGCTTGTAAAATAAGTGATAACATCGCTGGTAACACCGCTGGTGACATCGGTGGACACACCGCTGGTAACATCGCTTGTAGCTTCGGTCGTCAAATCGATGGTAACATCGGTGGTCAGAGCAGTGGTAACATCGGTGGAAACATCGGTGGAAACAAATGTCGTATGATCGGTGGTAACATCGGTGGGGAAATCGTTGGTATCATCGCCCGGTAACACCGCTGATAACACCGCTTGTAACATCCGTTGTAATATCGGTGGTCATAGCGTTGGTAACATCGGTGGTAACATCGGTGGAAACATATGTGGTATGATCGATGGTAACATCGGTGGAAACATCGTTGGTAACCTAGGTGGTAACATCGGTGGTAACATTGGTGGTAACATTGGTGGTAACATCGGTGGTACCATCGCTTGTAACTTCTGTGGTTACATCTGTCGAAGCATCGGTGGTAAAATCGGTGGAAACATCACTGGTAACATCGCTAGTAACACCGCTGGTAACATCGCTGGTAAGATCTGTGGTAACATCGGTGGTAACATCGGTGCTAACAACGGTGGTAACATCAGTGGAAACACCGCTGGTGACATCGGTTGTAACATCTGCGGTAGCATCGCTGCTAACATCGCTAGGAACACAGCTGGTAATATCGCTTGAAACATTGGTGGTAACATCGGTGGAAGCATCGGTGGTAATATTGGTGGTAACATCCGTGGTAACAACGGTGGTTACATCGGTGGTAATATCGGTTGTATCATCGGTGGTCACATATGTGGTAACATCTGTGGTAATTTCGCTTCTAACATCTGTGGTAGAATCGGTGGTAGCATCGGTGGTAACATCGGTGGTAACATCGGTGGTAACATCGGTGGTCATAGCGGTGGTAACATCGGTGGAAACATCGGTGGAAACAAATGTGGTATGATCGGTGGCCACATTGGTGGAAAAATCAGTGGTAACAACGGTGGGGAAATCGGTGTTGTCATAGCTGGAAACACCGCTGGTAACACCGTTTTTATCATCGCTTGAAACATCGGTGGTAACATCTGTGGTCATATCGGTAGTAATATTGGTGGTAACATCGCTGGAAACATAGGTGGTATGAACGTTGGTAACATCGGTGAAAACATCGTCGGTTACATCGCTGGTAACACCGCTGATATCACCGCTTGTAACATTGAATGTAATATCGGTGGTAACATCGGTGGTCACATCGCTGGTAACACCGCTGGTAACATCGGTGGTAACATTGCTGGTAATATTGGTGTTAATATCGGTGGTAACATTGGAGGTAAGCGATAGCTGGTAACATCTGTGGCTACACCGAAGGTATCATCGATGGTAACATAGGTGGAAGCATTGGTGGTATCGCGGGTGGTAACATCGGTGGAAACATCTATGGTAACATCGGTGGTAACAAGGGTGGTAACTTCAGTGGTAACATTGGTGGTACAATCGCTGGTAACATCAGTGATAGCATCGGTGGTCACATCGGTTGTAACATCGGTAGAACCATCGGTGGTAACATCGGTGGTACAATCGCTGGTAACATCAGTGATAACATCGGTGGTAACTTCGGTGATGAAATTGGTGGTAACATCGATGATTACATCGGTTTTAACATCACTGGTAACATCTGTGGCTACACCGGTTGTAATATCGGTGGTAACATTGGTGGTAACATCGGTGGTCACATCGGTGGTCACATCGGTGGTCACATCGGTGGTGACATCGGTGGTGACATCGGTGGTAATATCGGTGTAAGCATTGAAGGTAACTTCAGTGGTTACATCGGTGGTAACTTCGGTGGCAACATCGGTGGTAACATCGGTAGAAACGCGGGTGGTAACAACGGTGGTAACATCTGTGGAAGAATCGGTGGTAACATCCGTGGTAACAACGGTGGTAATATCGGTGGAAACATCTGTGGTAACATCGGAGGTAACATCGGTGGTAACAAGGGTGGTAACATCGGTGGTTACATCGGTGATTACATCGGTGGTAACATGGGTGGTAATATCAGAGGTAACATAGGTGGTAACATCGGTGGTACAATCGCTGGTAACATGAGTGATAACATCGGTGGTAACTTCTGTGATGAAATTGGTGGTAACATCGGTGGTTACATCGGTTGTAACATCACTGGTAACATCTGTGGCTACACCGGTTGTAATATCGGTGGTAACATCGGTGGAAGCATCGGTGGTAACGCGGGTGGTAACATCGTTGGTAACATCTGTGATGACATCTCGCTGGAAACATCGGTGGATGCATCGCTCGTAACATTGGTGGTAACATCGGTGGAATCATCGGTGGTAACATCGGTGGTAGCATCGGTGGATGCATCGGTGGTAACATCGCTGGTTATATCTGTGATTTATCGGTGGAAGCATCGGTGGTAACATTAGTGTCAATATCGGTGGTACCGTCGCTGGCAACACCGCTGGCAACATCGCTGGTAACATAGGTTGTAACATCGGTGGTACCATCTCTGGTACTATCTTTGGTAACATCTTCGGTAACGTCGGACGTAACATCGGTGGAAGCATCGGAGGTAAAGCGAGTGGTAACATCAGTGGAAACATCTGTGGTAACATCGGAGGTAACATCGGTGGTAACAAGGGTGGTAACATTGGTGGTAACATCGGTGGTTACATCGGTGACTACACCGGAGTGTCTGGCTAAGATTAGCGACATATGGGCTGGCCTTAAGATTAGGCATGTCCACGCCAGGGAGATCCCAAGGAGACCCAGAGCTCGCATCTGGTTACCAAAGGGGCAAACTGACCATGCAAGGGTGATTGCCTGTCTGAGGGCCCAGAACCCAGACATCCCTACAGAGGACTGGACCATCCTCCGAGCAGAGCACGAAATGAAGGCGAGTCAGTCTTTCCTCCTGCTGATAAACTAGCGCTGTATGGCCCAGCTGGAGGCCAATGACCACAAGGTCCGGTACGGCACCAGGAAGGCCAAGATAAAGGTCTTCTTGGCCGAGCCGGACGAGATATTGGAGGAGGTCGATGACACCAACAAATTGTTGGACGACATGGTCATCGACGACAAATCTCCTGACGCCACCCCCACCAACATCGATGTCGAGAATCGTGCAGATTAACCTGAAGCGCAGCTCGCACGCTTCAGCTAATCGCACGATCCTTCTAAGGGAGAGGGATATCGACATCGGTTTGATACAGGAGTCTTGGACCAGGGACGGGCAAGTCGCTGGACTGAGAATCCAAGGATACACACTACTGTGCACAAAATCGAATGGTAGGTCGAAAACTTGCATTGTAATTAAGAATCATTTTAATGCTTTCCTCTGTCGGAAAATTATCTAGGTTTGGAAGAGGTGTTAGACTTCACCTTACATATAGAACAGAACAATTACAGGGTCGAGAACTGGAGGGTATCGACAGAACACTCCTTCACAGACCATAGATACATTTTCTTTGAAATAACGACACCAGTTAAGAAACAGGTGCCTAGAAGAAACCCCCGTAAGACGGATTGGAACAATTTCAGCTAAATTGCCCAATCTAAAGTAAACGGCAGGATGATCAAGACTATATTCACTGCAAAGGCACTAGAAAAGGAGGTGAAAGACCAACAAATATTCTGAACAACGCCTTCAAAGAGACTTGTAAGCTAACATTCTCGAAGAAGCAATACCCACCGTGGTGGACAAAGGAACTAAGCGAGCTCAGAAAGAGCGCGAGAAAGTCCTTCAACAACAGCTATGTAACCCGGGATTGGGGAACATACAAAGAATACAAAAAATGTACAAGAAGGCAGTATACAAGGCCAAAAAAGAGTCGTGGCAAAACTACTGCGGGTCACTAGGAGGCATAAAGGACACGGCGAGAGTAAGCAAAATTCTCGCCAAAGGGCACACAAGCCCTACCCTGATCAACAGAGCAGGCGGATCTGCTACGACGACAGTTGAGGAGTCACTAGAGCTACTAGTTGATACCCACTTCCCAGGAAACCTAAGAGTGAGCTCGGAACCCGAGGAGGGAACGAACGCTCAAAGACATCATCACCACTGAGCGAATTCAGTGGGCAATAATTCTTTCGATAAGTACAAAAGCCCGGGCCAAGACGGCTTAATACCGGCAATGCTACAATCAGTCAAGGATAGCATTTGCAAATGGCTAAAAGCCATTTACGAAGCTTGTTTAAGACTGACGCACATCCCACTCCTGTGGAGGGAGGCAAAAGTCATTTTCATACCCAAACCGGGCAGAAGGGGGCATATCCTAGCAAAGGATTATAGACCGATAAGTCTCACCTGCTTCGCCCTGGACGTCCACATCCGAGAGTCTCTAGAAGGGCATCAACTCTCGGATGCGCAGCATGCGTATCGCAGAGGAAAATCTACGGAAACAGCGCTACACGTAGTTGTACATCATGTCGAGAAGACATTACAACACAAACAATACACGATGGCAGCCTTCCTAGACATCGAAGGCGTGTTCAATAACGTGAACCCCGACTCTATCCTGGGCTCCCTCAACTTGCTAGGTATTGAGAGAGGCATCAGAGAGTGGATCGGAGTCATGCTAAAGAGCAGGACGATCACAGCCGAACTGAGTGGCACTCACCTCACGCGGACTGTGAAGAGAGGCACACCTCAGGGCGGGGTACTATCGCCCCTACTCTAGCTCACAAATATGAACGCCATATTGACAGATCTCAATACGGGTGGAGTCAAAGCAGTTGCATACGCAGACGACGTAGTACTGCTAGTATCAGGACCATACCCTGACGTTATTAGCGAAATAATGACGGGTGCGCTAGGTCGTTTAAACAAACGGGCAGAAACCTGCGGACTAGGTATCAACCCCACTAAAACGGAACTTATGCTCTTCACACGAAGAACTAAGATACCTCCTTTCAACATGCCCAGTATTAGCGGCATGGAGCTAAAACTATCGGAGCGAGCGAAGTATCTAGGAGTTATCCTGGATGCAACGGGCAGCGAGTGCGGGGGCAGTGGGTGCAATGCGCTCATGCCCCGCGGCTGCTCTCAACGCTATCCTAGATATAATGCCGATAGAGCTATTCGTGAAGGACACTGCGGCAGTAAGACTGAAGGCGAACAATTGCTGGAGGGACTACGGCGCCGGGCACGGCAAGATCCTTGCAAACAGCGGCATTAACACAGACGTTAAAACCGACTATATGATCGCGGAAATGAAATTCGGGAACGCATTCTCAACATCATACCCATCAAGGGATGACTGGAGTAGAGGCAGAGTAGTAGTGGAGAACGAGGTGTCCCTCTACACCGATGGCTCAAAAATGAGCTGCGGCGTAGGGGCTGGGATCTTCGCTGAAAATTGGAGAATTTAACAGGCTTTCAATCTCTCTAACTCAGCGACGGTCTTTCAGGCTGAGTTACTAGCCATAAGGTAAGCAGTCGAACTTTCCTTAAGGCAGGACCTCAGGGGCAAAAGAGTTAGAATCTACTCAGATAGCCAAGCGGCTATAAAATCCCTAGCTACCGTGAAAACGAACTCACGACTAGTGCAGAATGCAAGAAGGCGCTTAATAGACTTGCCGAAAAAAATAAGGTACAAGTAACATAGGTACCGGGACATAACAAGATCCCAGGAAATGAGAAGGCAGACGAGCTAGTCCGTGCAGGCTCGGCAGGACTAAGTTCTGACTTCGAATTACCGATCTCCCTAAACGCGATCCAGACAAGGATCCATGACCACTTTAAGCAGATAGCTAATAAAGAATGGCAAAGTAAGAGCGATCACAGAAGTTGGCCGAGGTACGCCAAGAAACGAACCAGTGAACTGCTATCCAACAGCAAGCGGGATATTAGCAGGTTCACGGCACTCACCACGGGACATTGGGCGATCTGTTCGCACGCAATGAAGTTGGGACTGCCATACAATGCAATCTGTAGAAGCTGTAAGCAACCTACAGCAAGATTTTGGTACCATCGCTGGTAACACTGCTGGCAACATCGCTGGTAACATAGGTTGTAACACCGGTGATACCATCGCTGCTACCATCTTTGGTATCATCGGTGATAACATCGGTGGTCACATCGGTGGTAACATCGGTGGAAAAATCGGTGGTAACATCGCTGGTAATATCGGTTTTAACATCGGTGGTAACAAGGGTGATAACATTGGTGGTAACATCGGGGGAACAATCGCTGGTAACATCAGTGATAACATCGGTGGTAACATAGGTGGTAACATCGGTGGTAATATCTGTGGTAACATCGGTGGATGCATCGGTGGTAACATCGGTGGTTACATCGGTAGTAACAACGGTGGTAACATCGGTTGTAACAACGGTGGTAACATCGGTGGTCACATCGGTGGTCACATCGGTGGTCACATCGGTGGTACCATCGCTGGTAACATCTGTGATTTATTGGTGGAAGCATCGGTGGTAAGATCGGTGGTTATATCGATGGTAACATCGGTGGTAACATTCCTTGGTCACATCGGTGGTTACACCGGTGGTAACTTCGGTGGTAACATAGATGGAAGCATCGGTGGAAACATCGGTGGTAACATAGGTGGTAACAGCGGTGGTTACATCAGTGGTTATATCGGTGGTAACATCGGTGGTTACGTCGGTGGTAACGCGGATGGTAACATCTGTGGTTATATCTCGCTGGAAACATCGGTGGTAACATAGGAGGTAACATCTGTGGTAACATCGGTGGAAGCATCGGTGGTAACATCGCTGGTAACATCGGTGGTCACATCGGTGGTGACATCGGTGGTAACATCAGTGGTCACATCGGTGGTAATATAGGTGGTAACATCGGTGGTAACACCGAAATTGCTATGGTATCCGTCTAGTTAGGTTGCAGACAGCTTCGTGATCTCAATACCTTCATTTTATTCACTTCAGGTGCAATTGATTTTAATATTCATGCTGCAAAGTGCATCCACTGGGGCGGTCACGTTAACTTGTGGATTGGAAGGCATCGTTTTAGTATCACTTAATTAATACACTTACAAAATAAAGAAAAGAAAAATGTATATATAAACAAAAAAATAACGCCACATCCACTGATTTACCTTTTATCAACAGATTTTAACAAAACTGTTTATTAATTAGCACTTTAAAAAGGTTTAACAAGTAACACCCCAACGTACTTATTACTCAAAAGCCCGTTTTAATACCCCTTAATACTTTAAACAAAAGGAAAGTAAACAAAATCCAAATAATATCTATATAGGGCGATAAATTGGTTTCTTGCCAAGGTATTAAAAGGAGAGCCATTGACCGCTTAATGGGTCCCTTACGGGATTACCATCGCCCAGCAAGGACGTCCAGTGAAGCCAAATGGTCTCTCTACATTAGTTCAAGGTCCACCCATTTCTACTGGAACTGAAACAACTGTTAAATCAGTATAGGGTAAGACTCATCGGATATTAGTTTCACTGCATCTACAGGCCAATTTTTATCAACTTGTTCGAGGGGAATGAGGAGTTGGATACCAAAGAATCCTACTTGATTTGGGTTTGGCAACCAAATCCGCTTACTCGGCAACCCATAATCAGTTTATATACTTTTTGATCCACATTGTTGGTGCACTATTAGGGAGCAAGAGATCTGCAAATGCTCTAATGATTCAATTGCTCCAACAACTATATTAGCAATCTGGATTGCCCTGATTCATGCTACGTCTGAGACGTGCCTGAGAACTATTGTAGATGTCTCCGAAAATACCGATAACCCCAACCAGGGGGATGATGAGGAAGGGGCTGGGTTAAACCATTTTTATACGCATTTCTGCCGAAAAGCACATGCACATTTGCATGCATTTTTGCTTTTGAATTGAATAGACATTAATACAGTTTATTTCTTATAGGAGCAGCAAGCGAACAGACAATGCCCGATGAGGATCAAAAGAAGAGGAGGCGTGATGGTTCTATAGCTTGGGATCAGTTTAAAAGAAACAGCGAAAAACGCATGGGATATGCAATTACTGTGGTAAGCCAATAAAGACGTGTGGAAACACAACAAATCTAATGGACCACTTAAATCACGTTCATGCTGGTCGGCTTAAAGTTAGGGGAACTCCACAGAACCCAAACATATTAGAAAAGTTTGTTGAAAATCGGTTTCCTTTTATGAAAATGACTCGAAACGAAAACGTCCCCTAGACAGTAAGGTCATGAACATGATTGCTGTCGATGTTCAACCTTTTTATTGTGTTGAGGACGACGGATTTAAAGAGCTCATGAAAGAAATTGACCTCCGCTACAGGTTACCTAGTAGGTCACACCTGCGCGACGTAGTGCTTCCATCTCAATATGAGTCTCTTAAGAATAAACTCCAGTCTGTACTAAGCGATGTTGATTTTCTGGCCAAAGCGACTGATTTGTGGACATCCAAAGCAAACGAAGGTTGATTACAGTTACGTGCCATTTTGTTTTAAATAGTTTAACATTGAAGTCGGCAATTTTAGCAACAAGGCAACTTCTTGACACTACCAATCACAATGCTAGTAATATTTTTGAAATAATAAAGGGCGTGCTTGATGATTGAGGTGTCACGAATAAGGTTGTTTGAGTTGTGACTGAAAATGATACGACGATGCCTAAAGCATTTGAGTTGCTTGAGTACGAGCACTTGCCTTGTGTAGCGCACACAATCAACCTCATTGTGCAAGATGTTCTAAAATTGCCCGAAATCGACGTAATTCTTACAAAATGTAAGTCGGTAGTTGGCTTTTTTAAAAGAAGCCAGATCGCATATTCGAAATTTAAGGAAGCCCAGGAAATCAATCCGCATTCTCTTCTGCAAGAAATCGACGCTTTCTGTGTCTACAAACACAAAGGTATCAGCGTCTTTAATTATCCCTGGCATATGCGAACTGCATCACAAAATTAACAATGTTCAAGTCAGCACAGAAAAATGTAAAAACATTTTGACAGCTGTCAAGTTAAGTCTTAACAAGAGGCTCGCAAGCTATGAAACGCGTACAATACCACAAATTGCTACCATAATAGATCCAAGCTTTAAAAAGCATGGATTTTTGATTCCCTTTAATGCGGAAGATGGTGCCAAAGCTGTGCAGCAAGAACTTTTTACAAAACTACCTGGAAACCCACTACATCCGCCAACACCACCAACACAGGAACCAAGCAGATTTTCATTCCTACAAGCAAAAAGCCGAAACAAGGTGCACTCTACCTGGGCAGATGCCATTATATTGATGAGACAGCATTTCGAAAAGGAGAAGAAGCCGGAAGAATGTGACCCTCTTACGTACTGGAAGGTAAAAAATAATAACATATAACAATAACATATTTTTTCCAATTTATTGTATTATTTATATTTTAGATTATCTGGGCGAGTTTTTAGTAAAGCTGGTCAAATTATAAACGAGCGTCGCACCCGGCTATCGTCGACCGTTGTCGATAAGCTCATATTTTTAAACAAAAACCAGCGTTTGTTGTTGTTTTTGTTTTTAGTTTTAATTTTAATGATAATATGCCAAAGAAGTGAACCATGAATTTGCCTTTAATTTGTTTTTCGTTTTCTTTTTTTATATAATAAGTTTTTAATAAAATGGATATTTTTTGTTGAAAATTTGACTTTTAATTTTTAAATATTACAAATTAAAATAAGGTTCAAATACACAAAAATAACTGCTAATTTTTTTTTGTTTAAATGTCGATGTCCGTGAACATCGATCTTTCTCCACCTCTACTGGGGTTATTTTGACCGGTCGACCAACTACATTGGATCCTCGAGGTTGGTTTAATTTCTTTGCAGATAACATCTTATAATTTGCGCTATGGGATATCATGCGTTGTGAACGTTGTGTTTAAAGCGCAATATTGGAACAAAGTTCCGAGGTAATTCCATTGGAAGTACATCACGATTTACAACAATAGCACTGATTAGTGAGTCAGAATTAATTTCCCGGGCTTCGATTCGGCATATAAAGAGTGGAGTGTTAGAATCTATGAGAACAATAAAAAAAAACATTGTTGGTAAAAGTTGATTTTACAAACGATTTAAAATAATTAAGTCTCTAGTGTTACAAATAATTTCAGAGGGGTCCGAAATGGGAGAAGATATTATTTATATTTCAGCATAATTATGATTCCAGCAATAAAAGACCCAGCAATGGCCTAGTAGAGTCCGTATTTAAGATACTGGAACATAGTGTAGTACAAACTAAGCAGGGGCTAAAACTAGGAAGATTCATTCGTAAAATTAATGTTTTTTCCAATTCTGTGGTGCGGCAATGGCTACTCGGTGGGCAGAGCCAACCGGCCACACAGACGCATTACATCTTCAGGGACGATGAGCTTCCATTAACTTGGCCACTGAGATTGAGCAGCTAACAATGGGACAGAACACAACACAAATGATATGTCAGGTTTCGTTTGACTTCCTGGTGACCCAGTGTATTGTATATACTTGCAGATTGCAATTAAATCATAAAATTAAGAAATGATGCTCCACAATAATAATTAAAAAAATACTTAATTCTAAAATTAATTTAAAATGTGTTAATCTGTTATTTAAGTTATGCCCTATTTTCTATTATTTTCCCGATTGTTTCTATGACTGATAAATGATACACACGTCCGATTCTCATTAACTTTAAGCCGAAATTCTGGAATAATAAACAGTGACCATATCTCAAGTTAAAATAATTTTATTTGTAAAACTGCGGCTGCTGCTCCTCCTGCGGGTGATGCTACGGCAGAGGCTGCAACTGCGCGAATAGAGCCGGACGGAGCACCTCTATAACAGCTAGCCTTGTTAGGCGTTTTTCGCTTAACCGGGAAGATTCGCGCCACCTGATTGGCGAACGCTACCCGCTGCGTCCGGTTAAGGCCCTGCCCGTATGAAAGGATCCGTCCGACTAGCTCCAGCAGCTCCGCGCCCTCTAAATGCTCCACGGCCTCCAACTGCTCCGTGGCCTTCAGTTCCACTCGTCCACTATCAAAGTAGTAAAATTAAAATTATATTATACTTCCAGCGAGGCATAATGTTCGTAACGCCAGGAGGCATGTCCCATACTATATTTTCGACTTTTAAAAAATTGGTAAAGCTGTAAATGAACGCGTTCTCGAACGATAGTGAAAAATATTCTCTTATTTCGAGCTCGATGTAACCGTCAGATTTTGAGAAATTCAAGTCTATCTTTTTCGACCTCATTAATAAACAGACTTCATATCGATAGGAGCGCCTCACATGCACTATCGAAAAATAAGTTTGGACTTTGGTCATTTCTTAGATTAATTGCTTTGTTTCTTATTGACATTTTAGATGATTTTTAAGTATCTAGAAGTCAAAATTTCAAAATTTTAATAATAATACACAAAATAAAATAAAATTTAATAAAAATCCTTACGGTTGCACTATGGTCCAGAAGTCAATCTTTTTGGCATAAATTCTAAAAATTACAGTTACAGACCTAAAACTTTGCACATTATGTTTTTAAAAAGATAATGTAAAAAAAATTTTTAATCTGTGCGACCACGCTCTCTATTGCCTCCCATACAAACTGATTCGTAGTATTATCATTAGAAATTGAGTATGTCGCTGCATTCAGACAATATACTTACATTTTTTTCAGGAATAATTTAAGTATCTATGTCTACATATATGTTATGTATGGGTTCTGTCTAAACATCATATTATTCTTCTTATTCTAGTATTATTGTGCTGCCTTCGTTCAAATCCTTATCCGAATCACAATCAGATTGCTATTCCTTTTCAAATGGGATGTTGTTCAGAGTTAAAAACGTCGGGTGTAGGATTTTTCTATACTTTCATAATTCTCCCCTTACAGATAGTTGTCCTTAGAATAATTGTAACATTGATTATAGATGCACCCCACGCTTTTAACTCTGAATTTAGTAATCTTGTTTATAATTATATACTATTGCTCTGAATTTAATAATTTTGTTTGTTGTTTTGTCGGGGGGCGATCCTGCCGCTGAAGATCCTGTTTTGTCAAATGTAGCCCAATGGAAATTCCCACGTCGCAAGCGAAGGTGAAAAGTAAAAGACGGGGGCGTCGTGGGCAAATCAAAAGGTCAGCTTTATTGCGCTGCATACATAAGACTAACTCTAGCTTAAATGTAAGGGCCGCGCTCCCGACCGATAAGCTACGCTTAACAGTGCGAGAGCGGGCCCGAGAAGTGGAGCGCGAACTAGCCGTCCCTCAGCTCGCTTAGCAGCGAGCGAAGCTCGGGAACTCGGGAGCGGGCGTTCGCGAACATCGAAGAGTGGGCGCGGGAGCGCTTAGACTAGCCCGATGAGCAGTGCTCGAAGAGCCGACTTGCGGGAGTGCAAGAGCGGCCAAGGCTTTGGAGGCTCGGTGGACAGAGGCGGCGCCGCGGCCGCCGCGAAGGGCCTTCTGACGTGAACATTCTCCCCCCCTTGCAACTACTCGGGTTGCAACATATTCGTCCTGTATAACTGCCGCGTTCTGCAGGGGGTCCTGGCTAGCGGCGGAAATTGCCTACGCGCACCGGACTGGAGCGGTGGACGGAGGCCGTGGAGTGGCTGAGGAGGGGCGGGGAGAGGCGCAGGATCCTAGAGGTGACGTCGACGTCGGAAGCGGATGAAGCTCGGTGGCAACCTCGGAATCGGTTGGATTGGACCTCTGATCAGAGCGTTCGCGTGGTGCGAAGCGGTGGCATCTTCTCGAAGCGGACTGGAAAAAAAGTATCATTTAGAAGAGCGGTCAGTAAATAAGCACGGAGTCATCCGATGCTGCGATCGGGGTGCGGGAACTGGACTTCCCGGCATATGCAGGAGCGTGTGGTGATGCTGATTGCACGTCTTGCATCGGTCACCACTGCGGCACTTGCCTTGGGAATGTTCGTGGGCCAAACAGTTCGAACAGTAGCGGTTGGTGGACACCGCGCGGAGCCTCTTCTCAGCACTAAGCCTGAGGAACTTGTGGCATTTTCGAAGCGGATGGACTCCGCTGCAGACTCGGCATGGGTAGGATAAATTACCTCGGGAACGTCTGCTCTTGATGTCGTAGGGTACCCAGTAATTGAAGGCGTTGGGAGTAGTGATTCGCGTGGAGAACGCGGATATCCTTTGGATCGGTGCGGTTACTGGGCTGGAAGGTTCAGGAGCATTTTGAACACTGGAGGAACAGCTTCTGGGATGCAGCAGGGTGTGATGCCGTCTGCGGCATGTACGGCAGGAGTGGGCACTGGGGCAATCCCGCTGCTGATGGCCTCGTGCCAAACAATTCAAGCAGAGTTGCTTTCTTCGGATGATATTTGACCTCTCGACTACGGTCATTTGAAGGAAACGGGGACATCTTCGCAGGGGATGGTTTTCCCTGGAACATAGGTCACACCTTCTGGGTCTGGGTGTTGGAGTCACTCTGAAGTCGGAAGAATGGAGCCGGGGCGCTGGGGCCCTCGGAGTCGACAACTCTGGCGGAAAATGCCTTGAGTTGGTAGGCGAAACGTCGTCGATGGCCTCCAGCGTACGATGGCGCTCGGTCAGAAACGCGTCTAGCTCGTTCCAAGTTGGAATTTTGTCCTTATTGTGAATAGATTGCTCCCACTTGGAGAGCGTGAGCTTGGGGAGCTTCGAGGAAACCATGTACACTAGGAGGCAGTCCCAGGCTTCGACTTGAATGGCGGTCATCTCTAATGCCGCTAGACAACTCTGGATAGTGCTTTGCAGCTCCCTTAGCGCGCTGCCGGACTCTTGGGGGATAGCCTGAATGTTGAAAAGGATTTTCAACTGGCTGTTGACCAACAACCGCCGGTTCTCGAAGCGGTCGGTGAGGCTTTGCCAAGCTGCGACGAACCCCTCATTGGTGAGCGGGGCTTTGGAAACAATGGCATGCGCTTCGCCAGTTGTCTTGGATAGTAGGTGGAACAATTTCTCCACCGGGGTGAGACTAGGGTTGTGGATATATACCGCCGTGAAAAGGTCTCTGAATGTGGGCCACCGAAGACAGTCACCAGCGAAAGTTTCGGTGTCCACCGGTGGCAGGCGACAACCAGCGGACTCTGGGACGGACGAGTTTGGGGAAATCGGCACGGACTGAGAAGATCCCTTTTCCATCAACTGTTGGAGGTCGGCACTACATCTTTCGTAGACCGAGAAACAATGCTCATATCTGGACTGGAGCATTAGCCTGCTGGTGTTACTCTCACCGGATGCCGAAACAAGATCCGAACAAATATCGTAATCCCTTTCGACCTTTTCCCACAGTGCGCGAATCTGATCGCGACGCACTTTACACGTGGAAGGAGAGGGCTGGGCGGTTTGTGGGGCGTCTAGAGGTTGGATCTTTGCCTCGAATTGACTAACACGGTCTGTCGTGGCAATAAACTTCCTCAGCGCTATGTCGATGGCGGTTTGAGCCATTTTTGTAGTCGAGCAGTGGATTTTAAGTTAATCGGAGAGGGTCGCGGAAATGCGGACTGGGATCTTCCCAACCGGATTGACGGAATCGGCCGTAATTAAAATACCGGAATAATTTTAATTCGAAATTAAAAAGCCTTGTGTATTATAGAATATATAATATATTTCGGACGTGGAGGTTTGCTTATATTTTGCTCAGAAAATTGGGCACGAATTGTGGATGGATCCCGTAATAAATTAAATACGAATTTAGGAACGTATTGGTCGGAAGTAATTAATTGTTGCCAAATTTATTGATCACGGATGAAATGGTCGAAATAACCCCTTGGCTTTAGTTCGAGAGAAAAACCTCAGTGGGTCATGCCGTCGGCAAAGCCGTGCGGAACTCAAAGGAACCCAGAGGAAAAACCAACACGACCGTTGCGGCGACTCAGTTGAAAGGATTGAATTAAAAATTAATTAACTTAAATTAATTAATTAAATTCAAATTCTGGATCGATTAATGAATGTTTAACTATGAGTCGTAGATGTTTAATTATTTAAACGCTAAGAAGGTAGAATTTAAAAAACAAACATCCGTTTCTGGTCGCGGAGAAGAGCTCACTGGGATAAGCCGTCGGCAAAGCAGTGATGAGTGAGGGACCCAAAGAACTTAAGGGGTGGCAACAACACAGCCGTTGCGGCGGTTAAATCGAAGACAATTAAAAACACTCGTTTGTGTTTGGGTTTCGATGCTCAGCGCAGAATAGCGCGAAGCTTGTATGTATGGAGGTATGTGTGTAAATTTGTATTTCTTTCACCTAAATGAAAATAGGATAAATAAAATTCGAATAATTTAAAATTCTTGGCTCACGAAATTTCCTTAAAATTGTAGGTGGCGGATTATATCTCGTCGGCACTGTGCGGCTGTGAAATGTATGAGTACAAGTGCTTGTACACGCTCTAGGCACAAAGAGGAGACGAAAAAGAAATGACAAATAATAACTTGATATGCCCTTATGCGGGCGTGTGTGTATATATGTAGGTATGTAATTGGAGATCGATGCTCAGCGCAGAATAGCGCGAAGCTTGCCCAATATATATGTATGTATGTATGTAGAAAATTAAAGAGATCGATGCTCAGCGCAGAATAGCGCGAAGCTTGCCCAATATATCTGTATGTATGTAAATAATTATAGAGATCAATGCTCAGCGCAGATAGCGCGAAGCTTGCCCAATATATGTATCGTAAATTGAAATAAATAAAAAATAGGATTTATAAAAATTCGGATTATTTTAAATCCTTGGTTGACGAAATCTGTTTCTTGAACGACTGTAGGGTTTGTATTGGCACAGTGGAGCGTCGAGAAGTGGACTGTATTGAATTGTGCGAACAGAAAAATGTGTATGGATACAGCATACAAAAAATATCGTGACAGCGGCAGACTGTTCGGCGATCAAAGTGAATTCCCGAAACAAGCGCACACCGGCTGGCCAATATTAATTATGCCTTTCTTTTTGAAACACAATTTCACTGTTCACGGAGAACTTTTTTTTGCACGGAAATATTAGCACAAGTTTAGAATGCGTGTGTGTGTATGTGGCTGCACATAGGCCTCGACCGTTGGCAAGTGGATGAACAACGGGGAATCGAAGAGACGGCGAGGAGGATGGCGGCG